TGTGAGGTCAGATTAAAGGTCCATTTACACCAATGGCCAGTCCCTGATAGTGGCCAGTAGCGGATATGGAGGAGAGAAGAGCGTAAGGAACAGGCCATGGACTGAGTAATCCCTTCCCTGATACATGATCCAAGCTTCCAGCAAAGGGCCATTTAGAGACTTCCTGAGCGAAAGGCCGCATCCGGACCATTGTACTTAATAGCCACTGATGGACTATCTTCTATTAATTTGTGTAATCTATTTTTTAATCCATTTATACTTTTGGCTTCCACAACATCCCGTGGCAATGAGTTCCAAATTTTAATCATGTACTGTGTGAAAAAGTACTTCCTCTTGTTTTTAAATCTGCTACATGATCATTTCATTGGGTATCCCCAATTGTGTCACAGGAAATACTGATTAATCGTTTCCTACTCACCTTCTCCACTGCATCCACAATTTTACAAACTTTAACACCTCACTGTTCTATACCCACCCTCACTCATCCCTTCTTCTATTCAGGCTCTGCTTCTGGTTCTTTGTAGCCCTGCAATACCCTCTTTAATAACCAAACAGCATGCAGTATTTATGATATAGGCACATTTGCATGTAAGCGGTAGCACCACAGAGGTTTTCCATGCTTTTTTCTTCCTCTTATTTCTACTGTGTCTTTTTGTCCACAGTCAATTTTTAGCTGAGACTTTCAAGAAATCCTTCCAACAACTCCAAAAATCTTTCTGATGGTGGTAGCACCTCATCCAGGGTTCATTATGCACCCATATGTGCTAGACCCACTTTTTCCTTCTCCCCTGTGCATTATTTCACATTTATCAACACTTAATCATGTCTGCTTGTTTATCAGCTAGTCACAAAATATCCTGAAACCCTTCCACAACTCTTGGCACAGCCTGACATTTCGCTATCCTGCATAATGATGCACTCAGCAATTTAGATCAACTGCTTCTACTGATCGTTGTTCAAACTCATTGAACAGCACAGGTCCTTGAGGGAAGGCAATGGTGGCTTTCCTAGTTTGGAAAAGCCAAGTACTACTCACACACTCAGATGGCCAACCCTTTAAAGCAGTGTAGAAACTGGAGAGGAACTCCATTATATCCCAGCTGTCTCAGGAACTTCAGTGAGGAAAATTTCTGAAGTCACTGAAAATCCAAACAGGTTACACTGATCACCCATGTCCCCATGTTACCCACTTAGCCACTCCTTCCAGCAGGGACACAGACACTATCACCCCCATCACTCCACACTGTTATCAGGTCTGTATAACACATTCTGTGAGGTTACCCCATGTGGAAGTCAAATCCAGCTCTTCTGACCATGTTAGGACCCCTTGTAAAGATGAACAACACCACTGGGGTTTTTTTACTTCATTTATCTGGCACTCAGTTCTATTTAAGCAACAGGTCTCCCAGCAATTATACTGGAGTCCAGCATACTCAATATAATTATATTGAATACTATTATTTAATCTTATTTTTGGCATGAAAACTACCCCATTCACCTGGCATGCTGCTCAGTCACCAGCAGGCTCTTGGCTTGCTGTACCTACCACACCAGGCCCACTGAGACAAAGACAGTTGCTCAAGGAGGCTGTAGGTGGGAGGGCTGCGCCTCTCGCTTTATGCTGAAAATAAACTTTCAGGCGCATGGGCTTACATCAGCAGAGTTTGCCTGCAGTAGAATGAGACATCTCAGAAACCTCTCCTGTGAAAGCCTTGCTTTGCAGACCAACAAGGCCCAGTGCAGGGGTTAAAGGACACAGAGGCAGGGTGGGTGAGGGCCAGCAGTAGAGCAGACCAGGAAGCAGAGCCCCTTCCCCAGGACTCTCCCTGCCACCCTAAGGCTGTTTTCAATTTAGAAGCCTCCCAGAAGGAAAGCCTCAGGCAAACAAAAATTCACACCTCAAATGGCATCAGGAGTCATCTACAGAATGAATCGACTCTGGTTTTGAGGCTCATTTGGGTGTTAATTTAAGAGGTCTGTTGTATGGGCTGGCAGAGGAGGAGGAGGCAAAGAATTTTGATATCACAGCCATCACTGTTGGGGCTGACAGAAGAATGCAAGGCCTTGCCTAGCCCAACTTCTCTGAGCAGGGTGGAAAGGTTAAAAAAACAACCTAAACAGTAACACACCCCTCATGTGCTGCAAATTGATGGGGTGAAGGGGGAAGAAAGGGAGGAGCAGGAAGTGGTAACTTGGACTCCTGAAATGACTCCAGCTCTCACAGGGTTTCATAGCTCGTCACTTGCTTTCACCTTGTGAGAAAGTCCCAAGCAACAAATTGGCCCATGACATTGTGCCGACTGTGGTTGCTACTGGACACAACTTCAAAATCCAACAGAAAGGAAGCTCTTTTCTCACTACATTGAGCCCTTACCCCAGAGAAATCCAGCCTCCTTTGTCGTTTGAAGCAACCTCTTGCCTTGCTTCATCATCCCAGAAACAGCTTGTTATACCTGCAGAATTTCTCATCACCCCTCCCTTTTCAACGCATATGCATGCACTTCGGTAATGGGCTTTTCCATGAACTCCTCCAACTTCAGCAAAATTGAAGTTGACTGAATATTTCAGAAGCAATTTAGACATTCCTGACAAACTTCAGTTTCCTGAAAACCCAGCAGAGCACCTGTGCCAGCTGGGCATTTGCCTGCTTGAGTACTGTCACTCTAGGGCACTGAGAAGGAAATGCAACCAGTTAGAAAGATCCCTTCACTTAAGGACGGCATGAGCAACTACAGATGAGCACACAGCAAGTATGTAAAATGTTGAGGTTCCAAGTTATGAATAAGCTCTTTGCCATATTCTTTACTCCACAGGCCTGTAATACCCATCAGAAGCTTCCTGCAGTCATACTGCATGAAGCCCTCATCCCTTTTCCCATCATCTCAGTGATAAACACCCATGCAAGTTTACTCGCAAAAAATACATGCAAAGTTTCTGAATGCCCCAGGGTCCAAGAGCAACTAGAAAAACATAAAATGAAATAAGATGGGGTGCTGTCCCTGCCTCCTCCTATTAGCTTTCCTTTTGGCACATGCCAGAATATTACCCCAGGCAAAACATCACCAGGTAATGAACAGGAATTTCCATGCAATTCCATCAGTGGGCATGACCACAAGTTTTTCCTTCTCAAGGTCTTCACAAAACCCATCTTTGCACACCACCTGCACGATAAATGGCTGCAACATCTAATGCTACTTGTACTTTTAATTGGACTGTCAATCGACGTGACATAAACATGTTTTTGTGCAGAAACATCAGCTATTATTACATCGATGCAGAACTGACTCAGAGCACAAGGATGCTTTGAAAGGCTTCTGTGCTTGATCAGCAGATTCAAATCCCTTGTTGCCAAATTGGCATAAATTGCTGGCCAGTCCCTTCCCAAGAAACAATCTTTGACTATCTCTCCTGACAGCAGCAACTAGTTATGCACCAATTAGATGTACATCCCTTCCAACAATGGCTTCATGAACACCCAAAGAGGGTATCTTTGGATCTTACAACCCTCCCATTCCAGAAGTCAGGCTTTTGAAAACATGAGCAGAGATCTCTTCAGCTTCCCCTAATGTGCAAAAATCCTTCCAAAACATACACTGGGAAAAAAAAATTTAAAAAAGGGCAAAGCTAAAATAAAGATGGAACTGCAAAGTACAAGGGGAAATTATTTTTTAAATATCTTTAAATTTTTCTATGTTTACGTGCAATGCGGTCTTTCATGTTTTTTAGGCCTTCCTCTGCTCATTTTAATATCAAACTGGCATTTTTGCCAGCAATTCATTTAAAGCCTGCTCTCTGCCACCCCTCTCCCTCCCCACCTGCAGGCAAGCAGGGTTCTGGGCCTCACAAGACTACTGTGGCGTGGGTGTTATTGGCTGTCTGTTTTGGCAGCCTCTCCTCCTTTCTTCCAGCTCTGTTTTGAAACACAATTTAAATTTTAAAAAAATAAATAAATGAGACATTCCTGCTTTTGCTACTCACATCAGTGCTCCTGCCACCACAGCATTAAAGTGCGGCTGTGAAAGGAGCAGCACCATGCAGGCTGTCCTATATAGCCCAAATGTTTGGCAATGAAAAAAACTTTACTCCAAGAAAAGGTACACACTTCAGGAAGGCAGGAGCAGCAGCGGAAGACAAGAGGCAAAAGCGAGGGAAAACAGGGCCAAGAGGAATTTGTGAAACATCTTGCTTTCACAGGGGGAGCGGAGGGAAGAGAAAAATGTCTCTCCAGAGCCGGCTCTCTCCCACATTTAGTAGCATTAGGATCTAACATGTAATTTGGACTAAAAGACTTAATTCCTTCCTGTGGTTTGATGGTTGTTACATCCCCTTTTTTCTTCTTCTTTAACAATGTATTACATAACATTCTGATACACTAATTACCATCTCATGTCATAGCAATTTTATTAAGAGCTTTTACTTACAAATACCCATTCTGAAAGGATTTCAGGACTTTTTTGTAATTTTCTCTGAACTAGGCTTGTTGAAGCACTGGCAATACGGTCTGATGCTGCCTAATGCAGCTTCCAGTAACAAAGCGTCTCTACACAAAGATCTCTCATGAGCCCCAAGTCAGGCATGGATTCTTCTTGCGTTTAGTCTCAAAGACTTGTAAACAAGTTACTTTTAGCACACTATGTCGTGATAAAACACTGGTAACACAGCCCTATTAGGTTCCTGTACCTGCTACAGTTCCAATTCCAGAAGCAATGCCAAGAGAGAGAAATTCCTTTATACCAAGTAATGGAAAATTTGTGAACTATTCTGCAGTTAGTGTTTGCTCATTAATATGGTATCATCTTGCCAGGCAAGACTTGGTACCATGAGGTATTTTTCCGTATAAAATTGCTAATGCCATCAGGATTGTCCAAATGGGATCATCATCATTAAAAAGATTACACGGTAAGGAAAGTGATTACGACAACGTCTGAGTAGAAGGATTACTAATCACAAGTAGAATCCTCGTACAAATCTCATTCTCCGTATACAAGAAAGGACACAAAACCTTTTAAACATAATTTATATACATTTATGGCTTTATACAACAAACTGTCAGGGATTGTTCTCGTGTGTCTGTAGAAGTACATCAGGCACTTTTTCTGAAAATATCCACGTATGAATTTTAATTCTGCAATGTGACTAAGTCAGAGCAGTGAAGCGTTGAAGAGCTGTCACACCACTCGCAAGTAGAACTAGCAGTATGTACATGCCAATCTCTCACGATATTGCTGGTTTGTGGAACACCCTCAAAAAGGAGGCCAGTTTTAATGCCAAGTAATTTGCTTTTTGCTTGCATAAACCATGCTGCATTTTACATTGTGATTACCAAAATAATAATAATAATGAGAATACCATATTTAAAATCAGTCATAAATTAAGGATCCTAGCAATTTCATAATGAAAATAGGAATTTCAAATCAGTAAAAAAATAGAAAAGTACTAACATACATCCAGTGGTTTAACAAGTGCAAATTTTATACTGTTTTATAATTGGTCCAATTTTAACTTGTCTTCTTAGGGATGCTCTGTTGACTTAAGCCAATGATAAGCAATATGACTTTTGCTTATAAATGTAGGCAAATTGTCAGTTTATCAAAGCAGAGCTTTCCAATTAATGCATCTACTACCTAAACATATATCATATAGCTATATTATGGAAACAATACATCTTTATATTTAAAATATCTGAACAGCTCTATAATACAATAAACTTTTAATAACAGTACAAACCAGAGAAAAGTCAAAACCAAGGCTGCATAGGTAAGATCATCTGCACAATTCACAAACCAATCATTTACAACAATTCTGACAAACTAAGTTACTCTAGAAACTTGGTATTTTTACTAAAAAAGGATTTATTACTAGAGGTCACATAATGTTTGTTTTCAAGGCAGACAACATGCCCCTTCACCAGACTTCACAGTATTCCAGAATTACAATTGCAAAGTATTAGAATGGCACCACAAAAAAAAAAAAAATCTGACCACACAGCCCAAACCTCTGATTATCTACAACTGTTTTCTCATAATAATTAAAAGCAGCTTCCTACGGACTGTTGTAATTAAGGAACGGCTACATTTATGTTTTTCATAGTTATAAAAGGAAATGAAGAAAATATCTGTATACAGGAAGTTATACAGTAGCAGTGAATAATAAACAGGAGGTATATTGTTACATGTAACATGTTCAGCTGCAACCCCATGGAGTATAGCTGTAAGTACTGCTTTCTCTGCATGCAGAGGTGAATTTTATGACTACTTTGGCCTATGAATATCAGTGCCCATTTGGAAGCAAACATTTTTGCACACTCAGCAGAAAGAAATATCTTTGGAAACCCATACGTGAGCCTTTCGCTTGCTCCACTGTCAGGATTTACCTGGGAGTGTAAATCATTTCAGGGACTATGAATTTGATGGTGAAGATGCTACTAGACATATTTGCCTGTAAAAGCAGGCGGTTTCGTTGAGGCTTCAGCACTAGGAACATTTCATTTTGCTCAACAGAAATTCAAAGACTGATTTCACGCTGGGGGAGATCCTGTATCACCGGACAGCTTAACATCAGCCCCTGGAACTGCTGACAACTGTAATAGGATATCTAAAAAAGTAGGACCAGCTGTAATTAGTAGTGATTTAAGCCCAACAGGGAGCTAAATGCTAGCACATCAATAAACACATTGCAGAGCCTTAGGAAAGCCATAATAGGATCATTAAATATATGGCCTGTTGCTAAACTTCATTTTCTTAGCATATCCCATTTCTTTCTCCAACATATGCCATCACTACAGTGAAGATAAGTTTCAGTTAAAACATTTTCCAGTTGTGGGCTATGTAGACAAAAGAAAAATAAGTGGAAAAACATTTATTTCTCCCCTTCTGCACAACAGCCAGCCCTAGAACAAAAGCTGTTCATCCTGTCAGTGCATAAAAAAGCTCCAAGGATTTCTGTAACACAAATGATATGTAGCAATCAGTGAAAAGATAGGTGAGGTCTGTTATCCACATATCCATAAAAAACACTTCATGTGATTATGGAAAATCAGAAATCGTTTATCCAAGACCCAATCCTGAAAACACTCAGGTAGCTGTCAGTGTGCCTACTCCAACAAGAGCAAGTTTTTCCACGGGAACAAGGCCTCTGTCACTGATGTTCTTCCCTACCCTACATCTCATATATTTGTATAACTTTGCCACTTCTTAATCTTTCTTACTTCAAAAAAAAGTAATGTTTTGTCCTGCAATAGGTCATCACACAAGTTTTAGCCTCCCATTCAAAAGCAGCACTTCCGCCTCTTCAAAGGTACTGCATTACAACAGAAACACTGACAAACCCTAAAACTACTGCTAATTAATGTAAATGATAATTTTGTCACTTTTTATCAAAATTATGAATTTTATCCATAAGGTCCTGCTCTTGAGGGCACAAACATTATGAGACCTCCATGAAATAAATATAAATGTGAAGCATTGTACAAGCATCTAACAATGAATACTTAACACTTTGTGGTAGTCAGGGTTTAAATGATAGTAGAAGCAGATGACATTTCTAAAAATGCATATATAAAACTGATTAAATATTTCCTAAACATAAAGTTGTCTATATTTATACATCACACAACAAAAAAAGGGACAGAAATGTTTTGTATTCAAGATCCTTATTAAGCTTTTCCTTTATTAGCACTCCCAAGTGCTAGGGAAATTTATAAAAACATGTACTTAATCCAGTTAAAATACTGTACAAAATGAAGAGATTATGAATGCTGCCAGATCTCAGATTTTTTTTTTTTTAAGTTGCCTATGTAACAAAAGTAGACTTTAATTATAAGAAAAATAGCTTGGAAAGTATTCCAAAAATTATCTCAAGTCCAACAGTAAAGTCATTAGTCTGACAATGAAATCCAGATATATTCTTGCATAAATTTCATGATTACAGGTAACTTATCAAATGGCATTTAACCTACTGTTTGCTTTGAATAGTCAGTGAGTTTAGTAGGATCATATTTAACAGGCTATTCTGTTCCCATATGAAATGTGTGGCAATTTTGAGTAAAACAATGCAGTTCATACTGCTGCAAGGCAAGTCCACAGTTATCTCAATTCATCAAAACACAGGTAACATCAACGAAGGTTAAACTTATTTAGGGCATGAGATCATCACAGTATTCTTACAAAAGTTTATAAACTTTTCTTGGACCAAAACAGATAGTCTTAAAAAACAATTCTTCTACAGATCATACTGTACAAAACCGAAAGCACAACATGATGTAAGTAAGAGTCTTTGCTGTGATTATATGGTGTAGTGAATTTGGCACTTCAGAGTAATGAAATTTCCAATTGCACAGTTCTTATCTACAGCAGCACATAACCTGCAAACCTTGGGCAAACATCCTGTACAGGAAAATACTCTGTCTGCTGCCAACTCTGACGAAAGGAAGAAAAAAGGAAAAAAAAAAAAAGACCCCAAAAAAAGCTAGTGCATGCGCACAGCTTTGTCAAGAAAATTAAAAAGGAAGGTGAAGGACATCTTTGTACTGCTTTTCTCAGTTCCTGCTGTCAGACAAGTCTGGAGAATATAACCGTAGCCTAGGAAGAAAAAAAAAAAAAAAAAAAACAAAAAAAAAAAACAACAGAAAGAACAAATTAACATTCACACCAAAAGATTAAATCTATTAAAATATGCTTGAACTAGCTTTAAGATACCTCAATTGGGGGAAAAAATGTATTGATTAATTGCTAGTTACCAGCAAGCTTTTTTGTTTAAAACGTTAATGGCAAAACATTAGTGCTCCACTCAAAGCAACAGAAGTTGGTAAAGGGCAATCCTAATGCACCAGTGCAAATCTCATTTTAAAACTAACAAAGGACTAGAAAGTGAATGATTGTAATAGAGGCACTTCGCATGCCAACATAGAAGACCACCCAGATTTTAAGCATTTTGACATCTCTTTTCCTTTTAGCTGTTTTTCAGATTTATTATAAAAAGCACAGCTTACCTCCTACTACATCCTAGCCTGACACCCAACTGTGTGTGGTTGTCTTTACGCTGTGCTGAAAACTTTGGTTAGGCAATACACTGTCAAAGTTAAAATCTAACGTTTCTCCATCCATAAGGTCATTACGGATAATTGACTCCATGTCACAGTCCAACCGTTCAATTAGCATGTCATCTAAGTCACTGGGAAGCTTCTCCTGGTGAAGGGAAACAATTCCCACCCTTCCGTAGCCATTGCAACTGTTAACAGGGGCGTACGGGTTCATAGCATTCATCTGCATTGGGTGACTCATAGGCACTTGTAACGAAGTCTTCACTGTCGACAGGCGATTTAGACCTGATGTGTGTGACATGGTGTTCACTGTGTGTGACAAGGCACGACCATTAACTGCAGATGTTGGCTGGTTATGTCCTTGGTGAGGGCGGGCATTAGGGTTCATCATTTTGTTGTGGGGCGGTTGACTGCCGTAAGTTGGCATCACCGAGTTAGCGACCATCAGCACACTTTGGCCCAGCGCCCTGCCACCAGCCTGGGAAACACCAGTGTCCACTGATGCCAAGATATCATTGTGCGGTGGAGAATCAGAAGTCAGTAACTCCTTCAGAAGTCCTGCGGGACAGTTATATTGGCTCATCGATCCATAGCTTGATTTACTGTCTTGAAGAGTCTGCATAGGAATCTGGGGCAAAGAGTTCATGCTAGCTTGAGCATATGTAAATTTCCTGTAGTCTGGATTTGGTGAACCTATACTTGTAGTTGAGGATGCAAATGAGTAACCGGGTGTTTGCTGCATCAGGGTAGCAGATGAAGACTGAGTTGACACAGTCATTGATGTATTAGGTGACAAGAGATTAAGGTTATCCAAAAGATTTTCCATGTTCTCAGAATTACTCATCTCTGAAAGGCTGGGTAGAGTAGAAGTCATTTTGGTGGCTGATGATGGATATACCATGGAGTGCACATCCCCATCTCCAAGATCATCTTGCTCTGGCAAAATAGGAGAAAGTCTTCCGCTAATCGTACTAGCGTTAGAGCTAGTTCTAGGTCGAAATGTACTCCAGTTATCAAAGTCATCGTTACTGTGAGAGCTGGGGCTTGCAGGCCACTTCGAGAACTGCGATCCAGGGCTGTCACTATTTCCCTCTTGACCAGACTGAAGGGATGCTTTTTTCTTGGCAGCTCTTCCTCTGCTTTTGGCAAACTTGCTGTTGTTATCCATGGATGCCGCCCGCCTCCTAGGAGATTTGCCACTCTTTCCTCCTTCAGGATTGAGCATCCACCAGGAACTCTTCCCTGTTCCCTCATTCTGCACTCTGATGAACTTGCTGTGCAGAGACAGGTTGTGACGGATTGAATTCTGAAAAACAAAATAAAGTGTAAGAAATGGGAGAAAACATGTGTATTTTATGCCATAGTAATATCCGCCTTTGCAAACATACTCTCATTTTACTAGAAAATACAGGGGTAATCATGAAATGGGAAAACATACCAGTCTGGAAACATCTTTTATCAGCTCACCACTCAGAACTAGCTGAAATGAGCTCGCAAAGAGTTGCCACATCAATTTGTCTGTCATGTGGCCCAACCACAACTGATGTTAAAAAAGTTAAATAAAATACTGAAGGAGCTGTTCTGAAAAACAAATTCCTCATAAAGGAGACAAAATATACTAGAAGACCAAGACGACAACTGAAGATCTCATTATCACCTTCACTCTAATGAGCTGAACCTTTTTTGAACCTAGGGGTTTTTTTGTTATTATTTCATGCAAAAATCAGAAATGCTAGATCCTGTTCTATGATCTTTATAATGGGTTCTCATCCTGCACAAGCCTAAACTCTGCAAACATGCCAGCCTGTGAGTATTGCCACTGAACATTAGTGAGGTTTATATTACTTGTGTTATGTGAGAAAACACATATAGAATACCAGTTGAGGATTAAGTTCTGAGTTTTATAACTAAACATCACAAATTGCTTAGGAAATCATAAGGGACAAAGAAATGCAAGCAGCATAGACAAAACTTCATTTAAAACCTCAGTCTTAAAACTGTCTTTCAAAAAAAAAAAAAAATCAGTATTTTAATATCCAAAGTTGACTCTTCTAATATCAAGGGCACAAGATAACTTGTGCTTCAAGACTGACCAGAGGTACTGAAGCTTTTCATTAACTCTTTGGCCATAAGTAATGTTTCAAGTTTTGTTCTTAAATATATAAAAAAAAAAAAGAAAAAGATCCCAAAACCCAAAATCCAAGACCACAGATTGACCTGTTAAGAAACTACCCTTTGTATTACCAAGCTGTAGATAAACACTTTTTCCCTTGTGTAATTTTCTGCTGAGCACATGTAAAGAACATTATATCAACAGAAAAGTTGTCCTATGTTTTGACATAATTGCTAACAAAAAGCCACAAGTTCAAAGAGTGCTGAAATAGGCAGCCATGTATGTTGGTAGGAGGGTGGGACAGTAGCACAGTCTACATGGGGACCCACAGTCTGTGCTAGGACTGCAACTCATGAAGAACGAGTAGGAGGGAACCACAAAACAACACATGAAATAGGTAAAACAAAAATTAGATCTCAGTGGCAGTAGCTGCCTTCCACTCAGTCATTTTTAGCCATTGGTCTAGAAAAAAATTCGGAGGAACAAAAATGGAAAGCCTGTTTCTAGAAAACAGTAGAGTAAGGCTGATCTTGACCAACAGGCCAGTAGGCCAATTATCTCAAAACACTAAATGGCTGCTAGACCTACAAAAAACCCTGTTCTACCTTTCCTGTTTCTCCACATTTTTCCTCTCCATCTATCTTAAGTTTTTAAGCTGAACCCCAAGACCCACTACCAACACCAAACCATGAGGATGATACAGCTCAAGGAGCTTTGCATACCTTGTGAGGCAAACCAGAGGACAAGGCATACAGCCACTGCTGTGGTCTCTGGCTGCTTTTGCTGTATTTCCCAACCCAGAGTGCTACCTGTGATAGCAGCATCTCCAAAAATGTCTTCCTTCTCTATCTGTCCTCTTGTGTACATCTGCTTTCTCAAAGATGCCCATCTTTCCTCATTGTCTATATATCCAGCCGTCAGAAGAAAAGGAGCAAAGACCATAAGGAGGCATGCCAGGTGTAAACAGTCATCTCAGGGGCTCAAATCAGAGACAACAGGCTCAAATTCCCCACAAGTGCCATGACACACTGTGGACCACAAAAAGCCAACCAGCCAAAGCAGGCCTGGCCACCTGCAGAGCTCAACAGGAATGGTTACTCTGGGGTTGGAAATCTTCAGCAGATGAGGGCAGCAAGGAGGCATTACAGTCCTGGAACACCTTACAGGCATCTGTGTCCTGAGACTACCCCCACAGAAGTGCAGCTTCACCCCACGAGGGGTACGAGGTGCTTTTTGACAGCAGAAGATGGCAGAACATGGCCTCATGGCATCTCCCTGTTCAACCAGCACAGCAAGGAGTCAAACCATGTGCCTAACTTCAGATGCCTTTCCAACCTCTCCCTCCCCTCCAAAGAACCACCTTTAACAAATTATCCCAGTTAAACAAACACCAGCGACAATTTGAGTGCTTCCTTATTCAATTTTGAAAGGAAGCTATTCTCATAGTAACTAATTAACATAGAGCTGTATCTCTTCACTGCAGGTAACCCTGCAATCAAAATCTCATCCTCTATCTAGCTACAGGGTGTCAGGGAAGGCTTTGACATTTTATTTTCACCAGGTGCAGCTAACACATCAGGAAGGTAAACCTGAAAATCCATCTTTGGACTTGCCCGTGGACCCAAGGGCCACCCGAGAAGCCTCGTGAGGCCTGCCTGGCACAGCCCATTGTTTTCACTCAAGGGCCACAGCCGAATCCCTGGCTGACACAAGTCCAGCACTAGAAATGTCGCAAGAAAGTTGTTCTGCACGTCTGTTGATTAAAAAACCTCCTGCGCCAGTTCATTTTTTTACTGTATTTTGTAAACATACCCAGTTGGCTCAGGCTTACTGTTTACTATCAAAATAGGCATATCAAACACACAAAACATCAGGCAGAGAAAATGCCGTGCTAAGGCTCAGTTCCCTCTTCTCTGCAACAGAAGTGTTAAATATTTAAGAAATTGCTGCTATTCCTTAGTCATCAAAAATGTTATAATCTGGTATTATTGTACTGAGGACATCTGAGGTCGCTCTTTGAGTAACAGAGCTGTCTCCTAACTCTGCCAGCAATGAAAAAAAAAATTTTCCTAACAGGAAAAGGTTTGCGGCCCAGAGCTTGTTACATAAATTCCTGTTTTTCACGCAGCCAGCAGGACATTAAAGAAGCTATGATTTACTAACTTGGAAAAAGTGTTGAAGAGGTAAATCTTGTGAAAATATGCACTGCTGTTAATGATGTTGTGTCTACAAATCTTTGCCAGACACAAACATGACCTGATAAAAAAGTGTAGTTTCAGCAGTGAATCTTGGCAGTGGGAAAAGTGGCGCGGCTATCTGTGGCCGGGCACTCAGCGGCACCGCCAGCCCCAGCACACTGCGAGATACCTTCAGCCATAGCTTTCAGCGGCACTTCGAAGCAAAGCCTCCCAAGACCTGGCCTGAATGACCCAAAAAGCAAGCTGCCACGTTTTGAGGCTGGTTTCCACACAGCAGCGACGCATGCCAGATTGCTCTGAGAGCATCCATACTGGAATCTTGTCAAAACCTTGTCAGGATGGCAGCAGGGCTACTGCCACCTGTGGGGTGTTTCCTGGGATGGAGTTTTGCCTTTGAGATAAAGTGCAAAGAGCCTCCACTCCTGTTTGGTCAGTGAACCAACTTCGTAACATACCTCATCATATGGACCGGGAACCATGGATATGCTTATCACCACTTGCTGATTTAAGAGCCAAAATATGCAAATCCAGTATCTGCGAAATGCAGCGTGATGAGCACATACCAGCTAATAAAACTTATGAAGCCAAGAAAATTATTCCTTTGAATCTACACGTTTATATCATTCAGTTACATTTCCAACATTTCCTACAGCTGAACCGCACTGCTGCGAGAATGCCCTGCTTGCTGCTCTTCTAAACAACAAAAAAACCTCAAACTGCTTTACGTTTTAAAATGATTAAAGAAATAAATGTCTCAGCCATTTAATCCCTGGGTGCAAATAGTTCTGCTGATACCTGATACTGCATTGAAATCCAAGATATTCATACTAAAACATGCAACTTAAGTTTTACCTTACTAAAAGGTAAAACTTACTTACCTACTTGCTAAACAAACAAAAAAAAAAAATCATACTCCTATTACAATTAAAGTTGAGGTATTTAATTACTTTTCCAGTAAATTGTTTTGGTGTTTTAGTAAAAAGAAATACCCGAAAACATAGCTGCTTTGTAAAACTTTACAACACTGTAGGCCTGTAGTTACTGAAGCAAAACCACAGTCACTCTGGCCATCTTTGCTCTACCCTAGCCCCTGGAGCACACAAGGGAGAGGAAAACAGAGCAGAGCTCCTGCTGCCCCTGCAAACCTCTCCAAGCAGGATTTAACTGTGGATCTGTGATTATCCAGGAAGCTGCAAGACCCAAACTTTGCAGAAGCACCTACAAGCGTCCATGGTCTCTCCCACCCTCATACCCTCACATGCTGGCACAGTACTGAGGTAGCCACCAAAACAGAGAGCAAGGAATGGATGCAACAGCCAATACATTTTACAAAAATGTGTGGATTTCCTATCAAGGTGCATATGTGGATGGTACTGCAATAAAGTACACCACGGCATCTCAGAAAAGAGATTCACCACTAACTAGTAACAAAGGCAGAAGGTGTTGGCCTCTAGAGGCAGCTATAACAAAGTGGAAGGCCATAAGAGCAAGAATGCTTCCATAGCACAGAGGTCAAACATTTCCATTAAAATTAACAGTCTAATGACTGCCCATCAGTATTTCATTCAGTAAACACCTCAGCAGTCCACTGCTTCCTACACCTCATCCAAGGGGACAGTCTACACATGTTGCTAGTCAGCTTGCACTAGCATCAGCTGAAATGGCTGCAAATACAGATTGGGCCACAGCATACTGTAGTTCTCAGATCTTTCCAAACAATATCTGAAATGGATTTGGAACCTGGAGCTGGAACTTTCAGGGCTGATTCTGCTATGACCCTCTGAAATAATCACAACTCAAAAAAAAAAAAAAAAAAAAAAAAAAAAAAGGAGAGAGAAGTGGGAGATTGCTTATTTATTTATTTTAATTGATAGTTGGAGAATACTGCAATAGGAACATGCTTGGCAAAAAAGTTAGAGTTGAGGACTAGTAGGAGAGAAGTTTAGAAACCCATCTGCTAACATCATCGCTGTTGAAAGGTGTCTACTGTG